GGGGTTCGAGGGAGGTGGGGAGTTATATTGTAAAACATTTAAAAATTTTCAATAAAAAAAAAAAGATCTGTATCAAGTTTCTTGCTGAGTCAATCAGTTGCGATAAGGTAAAAACCAAATCATCAGCAAAAGCTCTAAGCTTATAGTCATTCTTGCCCAAAGTTATTCCTTTTATGATCGATGATTCACAAACCTTAATTAGTAAAGTCTCCAAAGTCAATATAAACAATAAGGGTGATAATGGACATCCTTGCCTCGTACCTTTCTCAATTTTAATTAAGTCCATCAATCCTCCATTTACTACCACTTGCGCTGATTGTTGTTGGTAAATAGCCTTTAACGCTGATAGAAATCTGTCTCCAAAATTCATTCTATCCACCATTCGTAGTAAAAATTGCCAGTCCAGCTTGTCAAAGGCCTTTTCAGCATCCAAGAAAATAAGAGCCGCCGAGATTTGATTATTTTTGTCCAGATATTCCAACAAATTTACAATTTGTCTGACATTATTCTTCATATATCTACCATTTATAAATCCAGACTGATCCACATGAATAATCCGTTTCAATACTTGCATTAGTCTATTAGCTAGGATTTTTGCAAAGATCTTATAATCCGTATTCAATAAAGATATTGGCCTATAATTTTTAGGCTGAGTCAAATCTTGATCCTCCTTTGGTATAAGTGAAATAAATGCACACCTCCAAGATGGTGGTACTTCTTCTCCTAACAAAATGCTGTTAAAAAGACATCTCAAGGGTTCTAACATTTCTTCAGACAACATTTTATAATAGATTGCCGTTAACCCATCTGTACCAGGGGCCTTACCAACCTTCAATTGTTTAATTGCCTCTATGATCTCATCCAGCACAATCGGACAATTCATCATTCCTTTTTGATCATCTGAAAGTCTAGGAAAATTTACTTGTTGGAGATAACTATCTATTTCAGAAGTTTGTATATTCTCAAAGGCGTATAATTTTGAAAAATATTCCGAAAAATCCTTTTTAATCAAATCTTGCTGAAAAACCTCTTTATCTTTGTAATTTATTTTCTCAATAACTCTTTGTTTTTGTTTCTTTTGTAATTGATAAGCTAACCACCTTCCAGGTTTGTCTGCGTTGCAGAATGTATTATGTTTCATATATCTCAAGTTGACTGCCATCTGATTGGCCAATAACATGTTAAATTGTTCTTTCAGCATTGCAATAGATGCCTTTAAATTATTATCCATTGGATTTAAGGAGAAAGCTTTTTCTTTTATTTTTATCTCTTGCTCCAAATCCCTATGCCTTTGTAACTGCTTTCACCTATGAGCAGTATTCATTGAAATTAAAGCACCTCTCATTAATGCTTTGCTAGCGTCCCATACCATTGACATAGAAGTGCCTTTATTCATATTCAACATAAAAAAATCTTTTAAATGATCTTTAAGTTTCTGTACATTAGTTTCATATTTTAATAAATTCTCATTTAATCTCCAAGTCCTTTTACTTCCTCCATCAATTAAAAATTCCATCCATACAGGACTATGATCTGATAAGGTCCTAGGAAAAATCTTCACTTTTTTAACCTTAGGGATTAAATCACTAGTAATCAGAATAAAATCAATTCTAGAATGAGATTGATGTCTATCTGAAAAAAAAGTAAAATCACTTTCTCCTATATTCCAATCTCGCCATATATCTCTTAACTCCAAATCCTCTTGCAATGCAAAAAAACTTTTAGGCAATTTAATTTGAGTTGAAGCTTTAGAAAAAGTCTTTTAATCTTTTTTAGGGTCTATTACACCATTCCAATCTCCCATCATAATAACAGATTTATAATCCAATTGAGTTATCTTTTGATGTAGAAGACTATAAAATTGTTTCTGCTGCTGATATTGGTTAGGTGCATATATGCCAACAATAAGACATTTTTTCCCATTCAGTAAAAGTTCAATAAACACAAATCTTCCTTCTGTATCAGAGTCTATTAACTTTGGCAATAATTCTTTCTTAACATAAAGAACTATACCTGCTTTTTTCTTTGGTGCAGGGGCAATAAAATGTAGACCCAGTTTAAAGTTAGTCAAATACTTTTGATCTTTTGATGTAATATGCGTTTCTTGCAAACATACAATATCATTTTTATATTGTTTCAAATAATGAAATATTCCTTTTTTGTGGTGAATTCAATCCATTAACATTTAAAGTCATTAACTTAGCCATCTTTTGGCTTTTGGAGCTTCTGGAGCATTCCTTGCAGGTCTGACATAACAGATCTTTTGGATCTAGCCCCTCCCACAGGCTCTGAGGTAAACAAATATGTTTGGGGCATAGGTTCTTTTTGTTGTTCTCTTTCCCTTCATTTATAAGCTGCACGTGTCATTCTCTGCTCTTTTGAATCATCTTTTACATCCATCAGTTGTTGACTCTGGAGATCTCCTGCAGATAACGATGTAGTTCCAGGCAATTCTACAATCAGTTGTTCCACTACTTCTTCCGTTCCTTTAGTTGGTGATATAGAAGGTGAATCAGCTTTCAGAACCGTTAGATAAAAATCTTTAGCCTTCTGAACTGTATCAAGTTCGTAACGATTCCCAGCATAATTCAGAGCTATTCCAACAGGTATCTCCCATCTAAAAGGCAATTGTCGCTTCTTTAACTCCTGGGCCAAAAAGGCAAATTCCTTTCCTTTTTAAAAATTTTTTGAAGGTATTTCTTTCAAAAGTATAACATCTTGAGCAGCAATCTGAAATCTCTGCTGATAAAAAGCTTGTATAATATCATTTCGGCGTGTTTTTCTGGAGAAGTAGACAACAACATCTCTAGGCTGTTTTCTCTGACATGCGACCCATGAGTTTACTCTATATGCTTTTTCAATTTCTCCATATATAATTTCAGGATCGCAGTCAAAAACAAAAGCCAGGGCAGCTGCTATCTCCTCCCTCAGTTTCTCTTGAAAGTTCTCTTTTAAACCTCTAATCCTTATAGTATGCTCCATTTCTCTATATTGTGACATTACAATATCATTTTGAGCAATCTCCACTCCAAGAAGATGAAAAAGATTAGAGAGGAGGTAAGGGAGGTAAAAGAGGTGGTGAAGTAGGTGTACAGGGAGATACGCTAGGTGTACTTTACGTTTTGGAACTTTTTAAACCCTGTATAAAAGTGTGTTAAGTAGTAAAAAGAACGGTTCTTCAAGAAGACAAAGGTGAGAGTAAACAACATGATAAACAAATCTTTAAACAACCAGAGAGTCCTGTAAATCTTTAAGAGTAATGTAGGGAGGGGCCAAGGGTGGAGGAGTTTTATCTTTCTGCTGTGTAGTTTGTACAGCTGGAGAAGAAGTAGCTGCTTTAGGTACTGCAGAAGTTCCAGTACGTTTAGAAGCCATTCTTAATTTTAAAAGAGTCTTAATAGTCAATCCAGAACAGCAAGTATTTAAACAAATTTTTCTTGAATTTTTGAAAAATCTTTACAGTCTTTACAATGTAGCAATCCACAATCGGAAGAGAAGTGAAAGTTTCCCTTTGAAACAAAGAAGCAGCTCGCCCGCAGCCATTTTTTTCCCCCCAAAGTTAACTTTCAATTATAGCAATTGAGAAGAATGCCTTTGTTCTTTCTGAGTTAAAGTTATATTTTTTTCCCAAACAAAGTCTAAGTTCCTGGTCAGCTCTGTCTGTTGATAATTTTACTCACATTTAAAAATTTCAATGCATATCAGAGGTGGAGACGACGTCTGGCTTCGCTGCAAAGACGAAGACATTCCGGTCTGCAGAGGAAGCTCTGAGCTCTGGAGGAGTTCTCACCTTCATCTCCCTGGAAGCTCCAAGGGAGACTAGGGAACTCTACTCCTACTCAGAGTAAAGCTCGCCTTCTCTCCTTCTCCCAGAGAGAAGGCTCAAGCCGCCAAACAGCTGATAAATGCTGTTTCGGCAGCTTTAACGCAGTCCCGGACGGGAGGCTGTCAAAAAGCCTCCATTGGCCATCGCCGAGTCACCGGAAGTCCACTGTCCAGTCTCTTCTTACAAACTTCCAGTGTTAGAGCATTCACCGCTTCTGGAGGCAGGTTGTTCCACTGGTTAATTGTTCTAACTGTCAGGAAGTTTCTCCTTAGTTCTAGGTTGCTTCTCTCCTTGCTTCTTGTCCTGCCTTCAGGCACCTTGGAAAATAGCTTGACTCCCTCTTCTTTGTGGCAGCCCCTGAGATATTGGAACACTGCTATCATAAAGTATATCTTTAAATTAGGTGTAAGGCTAAATAATTTTTTATCATTTTTGCAAAAGTTAATTAAATACTGTATATATTGTTCAATTAAATAAAACAATATTTTTTTTTCATTTTTTTTTCCCTTAGGATTATCGAGTGAACATTTTTCTTCGTCAGAACTGGAATGATCCACGCCTTGCTTATAGTGAATATCCAGATGACTCTTTAGATTTAGATCCATCCATGCTGGATTTAATCTGGAAACCTGATTTATTTTTTGCCAATGAGAAGGGTGCCAACTTTCATGAAGTAACAACTGACAATAAGTTGCTTCGAATTTTTAAAAATGGAAATGTTCTTTATTCTATAAGGTAAATTGTTGAGCACAAAAATATGAGGTTATGACACAATTTCATGGTAATCCAAGTTCCATTTAGGCATAAAGATTGTTGCTTTTATAGACTATAAATTTTTCACATTGATGTATATAAGTATAAAACTTGATCTTCAAGATATAAAATAACTTGTGCAATTAGTGAAGATTGATTCAAATGTCATAAGTAATATAAAAACTAACTGATCCCCAAAATATTGGAAATTTTAATTTTGAAAACAAAAAGGCAGAACTTTGCTAAGGATAAGATGTATTAATTCTTAGTGTAAAATTAAGTCAGACATAGGATATCTTGTGTTAATAAAAGTCATAACTTCTATACTTTTGTTCTTGGAGAATGGATCAGTTTTGTTCTTGTGTGCTTCTTGCTGTAAACAACAAGCATACGTGTTCACCTCAGCAACCGTCACCATTTCTTTTACATTCCCAGAATACCTCTACAAAGTACAACCACAATGTTCAGAATTTTTTAGGGAAGGGAGTAAAAAGGGGCAAAGTCAGTAATTATAAATAACAATTACTAAAAGCCTTAGTAGAATTTTTAACTTCTCAAATTTCCCTCAACAATTAAAGAGTTCCCTCTTTCAGTTTGTCTACAAAGCCAATTTGTATCCTTCTGCTGCAAGCTTTCTATATTTGTTGCTATCGAAAGCCTGTCATATAACTACATCCAATATTTAAATATTCTTCCTTTTCCTTAAATGTTCCATAACTTCATTGCGTACATGAGGTTTAAGTTATAGTTTATTAGCATACAAAACGTTGCAGAATACACGTGTTGTAGATTACATTGATTCTGAATAAGGGTTTTGTACTCCTGTGCTTATTCAAAGATATTTACTTTTTTCAAAATGTATCTGGATTAGGCTTTCTAATCATTTGTTCTTTATACTATATATCATCTATTCTCTGTCAAAATTCTTTCATTGATTGTCCCAGATTTTAAGTCTACAGTGTACAGAGGATAACAAAGCTACTCTTATTTGAAATTAAGGATTAATATTCTTTGTAGCAGAAATAGTTCATATGATTTATTGAAAGACTGAATATGTTGTTTTAATAATAATTTCACAAATCACTAAGAGAGATACATAGGATTAGGTTATAATGTACCATATTGCTGAATATAAGCACAAATTACACAAAGAGAATACCGTAAAATACAAAGTTTAAAGATATTTATTCATAAATAGGTTTTTCTGATTTTATGAGGTTTGTTTCCAAGAAAGGTTGACAGAATTGCAGTTTTAAAATCAGTTCTAGGCACTTGGAGTCTAATACAAAGACAAATTTATAATATTTAATCATTTAAATGAACTGTAGTTTATTGTTTTGTATTAATTATACATATGCTTGTTTTGCCAATTTTTCTCCTTATTGTAGATGGATGTAAGGAAATGTATGTGAAGAAAATATTCTTTTTGCCTCATTTGCTTTGCATTCTTTCAGGTTGACTTTAATACTTTCCTGTCCAATGGATCTCAAAAATTTCCCAATGGATGTCCAGACCTGTATAATGCAACTGGAAAGCTGTAAGTATAAATTAATTTATTCATAGAAAAAAGCCATGAGATACAATATATATTATTATTTGTGATAATGTGAACTTCCATGTGCAGGAAACTTTTTTTAGCTCCCAGGATTCCAAGCCAATGAAGTAAGAAATTTGGCATGTTGAAATCCCAGTACATTTAGTGGTCACTCAATTGAGTAATAATGTTTGGAAAAAACAAAAACGTTATAGATTACATAATCTTGGCAGAGAAAAATGTTTTCTGATGGGGAACTCATTAGTTAGGGCAGCGGTTCTCAACCTATGGGTCGCGACCCCATTTGGGGTCGATCGACCATTTCACGGGGGTCGCCAAGCAAGGCTGTCTGCCATTTTTTTTCCCTTTTCCGGCGGGTGCCTTACCTCCCTTGGGCTAGGCCAGCTGGTGGTCGGCCTGCTCCGTCTCTGCCGCTTGCCAGCTACGCCTCGGCCGGCGCAGGGGGCAGAACCACACATGCGCGGTGCTCCCAGGCAGGGAAAGTCCTCGACTTACGACCGGTTGGGTAGTTCTCAACTTACGACCGGTTTAGTCCTCGACTTATGACCGGTTTAGTCCTCAACTTATGACCGGTTTAGTCCTTGACTTACGACCGGTTGGGGGTCGCGGCATTAAAAAGGTTGAGAACCACTGAGTTAGGAGAAAAATATTCATAAACCCATATGAGACAAGCGTCTGCTATACCAGCAATTTTCAGTTTGAGGGGAAGATGGCATGTTTGTTGGGAAATTTGTATTTTCAGCCAATAATTAGCCATCAAAATCCACACTCATACCTGAATTTTAAGCCTTACTGTTTCCAAACTAACCTTGGTTAATGGCTAGGGCAATAAGTAGGGCTACTCTCTCAAGAATTTTATTTGCACTGACTTCAGTTTGCACCTGCACCCTATTTAGAATTTGGGCCAAAATTTTGTTTCAAAAAGTTTTCATGCAACTGATATTAGTTCTTTAGTAAAGAAGAAATATGTAATAGCAGTTCTGGAAGCTAGCTCTGCTACATAATCATGATGTGGGTCAAGGTCATTTTGGCATAGAAAATCAGGGAAAGCACTAATAACAAAACTATAGGTAACCGTTTAATATAATGTGAAGTCAAGAGATTTTGAAAAGACCCTGATGCTTGCAAAATGAAAAGCAATTGAAATAAAGGCTGACAGAAGACAAAGTGACCACAATCTCTCACAAATATAAGCTTACAAGTGCTGAGGAAAACAGTTACTGCCAGACAATCCTGAGTCAGAAAGAACTGAACGACAACAGCTGCCATTTGAATCCCTCCTATCTTCATATTTTATATGAAGACTACTGATGAGCTACATGTTTTCCTCAGATATATAAAGAGAAGAAATTTCCTTGTTCCTCTGAAAAAATATGTGAAATAAAACATGGGTTTTGTACTAATGTATATATAATGAATGTATACAATAAATGATGAAGTGTGTTACTTTTCTATGAATTAGATGTAATTCACCTGAGTCCTCACTCTGGCACCATTTTTTCCTTCCTACCATTTTTCCACAAGTGCAAGGGCATCTTTTTCATTAAAGCTGAAATAGGGTTTGGGTTTAGGGTTTTTCATCAGAGTGAAAAAGAGTCATAATACATCACGACATGTCACGTGATGCGGCGAGTTTGACACCCATGCCCTATAATTTTTAAGCCTATCAAGAGAAAGCTTAGGAAGATTCTTCAACTTTATCTCTTATCATAAGTTGGAAGTTCTTGTTGACAAAATCTCAGCTATTTTTTATTGTTGGCAGCAGACCAGCAGCTGTATTTGCTTTTCAACTTTTACCTTTGACAAGAAATTCCTTGAGTCTTTCTCGCTCACACCTATCATTGTGGTATCATTAACATTTCTGCGGTTTTGTTGTTTCTTGCAGTAATTTTAATTTCAAATTTTCCTCAACCAGCAGTTTGAAATATTTTGGATGTGAATTAAATAAGGTTTTTATATACAGATCGATGCAATATTTTCCAGTTTTGAAGATATTTGTTGTTCCATAGCCCATTGTATTAGATGATTCTTTAACAGACAGATAGCCAGTTTTGCTCACATTTCTAAGAGGAATCTACAATATGCTGTGGTTTGTATATTCTAAATTCTTTGTATAAACAATAAAGAAAAATACAGATCTTTTTGAAGTTATTTGAATTTACCATTATCTGTTAAAAGTTAGCAATTTGATATTGGATAGCTCCTGGGCTGGCAACTATCCTGGCGAGTTTACATTTATAATAATAATAATAATAATAATAATAATAATAATAATAATAATAATAATAATAATAATAATAATAATAATAATAAT